GCTGTACTGTTTGGCATCCTCGTTGGAATCTCCAGTACGAACATTTCAGAGTATTTGGGCGTCAATCTGAGGACAGTGCAGAGGATTCAGAAAGAATGGCATGAATCTAATATTGATTATGAAGGTACAGCAACTTGGAAAAATCATTCTGATCGTTCTGATAAATAAAAAATTCACGAATTTGTTGGCGACGGCCTCAGACTCAAGACGGAAGCCTATGGCAAGTGCCTTGGGGATGTACTGTTGCCCTGGGTCAAGAGGGTGGCTGCTGGAATACCCTATGTCCGACAACAAGACTCTGCATCATGTCACACAAGCAGGAGGACCCAGTCGTGGCTCCCAGATAATTTCTGCAACTACATCAACCCTTACATCTAGCTACCTAACTCCCCAGACTGCAACCCCCTTGATTATTATGTGTGGAGCGCAGTTGAGCTAAAGACCAACAAAACTCCTTGTAACACCAAAGATCAAGGATTATGGCAGCATTCCCCAACTTAAACAAGGAGACCGTCCAGAAGAGTTGCAGGAGATTCCGAAGTCGCCTTCTTTAGAATTTCAAGATATTTTTGCGTAATTTTGGTAAATATATCTGTTAAAATGAAATGTCAGTATTATTTTCATTTTTGCGGAATTTAGACAACAATTTATCCATCGCGACCTTTATATACGAATTGCGATCAAATATTGATTAAAATCTGACAGAATGATAAAGAACAAATAGGAAACGTTGATAAACTTAACATGTTTCGCTTTTATTTAAGCTTCATCAGAAATTTGTTTATGCATTATGGAAAAAAAAGTTCCAGTACTTTTAATTCTGAGTTTGTCTTGTATTGTGGTGTGTGTGTGTGTGTGTGTGTGTGTGTGTGTGTGTGTGTGTGTGTGTGTGTGTGTGTGTGTGTGTACATCTGGATTCTAGTGATTGTTTTTGTGTTTGTCTGATCGTGTCCATGTGCTTAAATCCTGAAGATGGTAGTGAGATGATGACGGGTCTGTGTGTTTGGGTATCGTATTTCTAGTTGGTCTTGCGGGAGTTGTGTCAGTACGTGTGTTGCTTAGAGGATGTTTGGTGCTTGTTGGAGTCAAAGACTTAGGCTACATCGACCGTAGATATCTGGATCTAACATTCATTAACTGTGGATTTTATAGAAGATAGTAATTTGAAATGTGTTTCTGACGTGTGTTTATCGATGGGAAGATATGTCCGAATGTTGAAACTACAACAAAAAGACCCCTACATTCAATCCATCTCTATGAAAAGCTCCTAGTATCAGGTTACTACATAAGAAACAGAAGAAATTTCCGATTTAAATGCATTGCTGGGGAAAGACACTCCCAAAAGCAATAGTACTCAAGACCACAATAGATATCTTCGCCAAATACATTCACGATTACTTCCTCACATGCACAGAAGATCTCAAACACCAAGAAAAGCTCATAACGGACAAGTCTACATCTATCGGTAAAACATTACGTCGGGAAAACATCCTGAATCCAAAAACGAAAGCTTAAGACAAACCATTTCCTACAAAAATAATGAACAAATAAATCGCCTAAAATACAAGCTCCATAAACATTTGCACCGGCAGTAGATGGTGCAATATCAGTAATCAGAATCTTGTTCACTACATCTTTAGCAATAAACTATCCACCATAGACCTGTAGGCATCCAGTCAAGATTTAAAATTTGGACTGAAATTAGAATATGAGACATCCTAACCACCATAACCAAAAAATATGGATTTGAACACGCAAACTTAGAAAAGTTTTCACATAAGCTGCCACCCTCGCCAAATACTAAATACTTACTACCCCGGAGATAACTACTAGCACTAGAAAACTTATCTAAGAAGAAAAACCTAACCATAAAACCCCATTCGATAAAGGTGGCGGGGTAGGCATCAGGGATACTGACAACTATCCTGAAAAATTAGAATCCCTCGGTAACTGATGATAACACTTACGAGAAAACCAACGAATGGACGATAAATAGAAAATTCAAGAAAACAATCAAGAATCTTTTAAAAAAGGAAACAGCGCTTTCCACAAACTAGCTAAAGCAATCAGAAAGTTCCAATTCCGTTCCGAGTTATCATCAACCCACTCTGGTAACTTAATTATTTTTTCTCAAAAATATTTTTAAAAAATTTTATGGCAAGCTTAGATGCCAAATTATTATACAACATACCCGTCACAAAATACCTCAACATATTAAAAAAGCACCCCACAAAATCCAAAGAAAAACTTCCTCTATCGGTCCACAAAATTATATAACTATGCAAACTAATTACTAACCACTGCGTCTTTTCTTTTAACAACAGTTTCTACAAACAAAAGTTTGGGTTACCGATGGGATCTCCTGTAAGTCATGTTCTTGCATGTCTGTTCTTAGAATTTCTAGAATCAGATCCATTGAAATACATCATAAACTTCACTTACCTTAGATGCATAGAAGATATCCTACTAATATATCCCCACAACGAAAATCTATCAAGCATCATAAAGTTAATAATGTAGAACCAACCACCGAATTCACACACGAGCCTGAAATAAAAACGTCCTACTCTTCCTCGACATCCTATTAATCCGAAACAAGAACAAATCAGATTTTGAAGTTTACCGCAAACCCACAAACAAAAAAGAGTTAATCAATTTCTATTCCTCACCACGACCAAAAAATAAAATCAGGGCTAATCAGAATATGCGACCCAGAAGACCTAGATGAAGTGAAATACATTGAAAAACGCTTAGCGTTCATGACTCTACCCCCGTCAATTCCTTTACAACGCTAGGAAAGGAGCATACAAAATCCGCAAGATCAAAAAGTAGGCACCACCGACAACAAAAAGACAACATTTATAATCTTACCCTTTAACTTTCTATAAAAACATTCGAGAACCATCAAGCCATCTGCGACGCTAAGATCATAGCCCCCCACCCAAGACTACCGCAGATCTAGTTAGCAGGGAACATAGAATCAATAGCACATGATATATAATATTAAATGTTTGCAATTACAAAAGAGCTAAATAGGAAAAATGTCCAGAATCCTTAAGGTTTCGTCCGTATCTATGAGAACACAAGAGAAGACTTAAGTTGGGACAAACTACTGAACTCTCTCGTAACTCATAGAAATAAAACAGGCCATCAATTTAATATAAAAAAATGCAACACTAGTAAGAAAAGAACATACTTTACTGCGATGGAAATATTTAGAAGGCATATTATTAAATATCTTCTCATCGATAAACACAAGCTAGACATATTTAAAAAAAAAAAAAACAAACTTAAATAATGTAAGATCTAGTTAACAACATATGTACTGACACGACTAACTCGGGTAAGAAGACCAACTAGAAATATGATACACAAACATGCAGGCACGTCATCATCCCATTATCATCTTCAGGAATTAAGCAAAAAAAAAAAAAAAAAACATTATAAGGCAAACGCAAAAATGCCCAATAGAATAGAAAACACACACACACACACACAAAACACACACTACAACTGCAAAACAAAATCACGTGAAATCTACCTGACCAATGAAAACCAAATAACATAGAACTTAAGGGACAGGAACCTTCTCTTCCCTAAACTCATTTCAATTTTTTAATGTGGCTTAAATAAAGTGAAACATATTTATAAACGTTTCTTATTTGTTTATTCTATCACACACACACACACACACACATACACACACACACACACATATATACTATAATTATTTTCTTTCTATGTTTCAAAATTGAAACTAGAGTTGTAAATTTAATTATAAAAATTAAACTTAAAATTTAGAGTTTCGTTCTGTTGTCAAGCGAAGTTAGGAATAACTTTCTCCGAAATATTACTTAATTTATAAGCGCAAACAATCTTAATATTTTGAGTTGTTAAGGTTGAGGAAAATTCAATCTATTTTGATTAGGGGTGGTTAGGTTTTAATTTCCCTAGACAACTTATGTATCAAATATATGTTGCTTACAAAGTCAGGTTAAGTTTATGTGAGGTGTACCTGCTCACGAACATATACATTCGTTAGTCAGCGTGTTGTCTGGATTTTCAATGACAAAAAAATTTTGGCATTTTTATTTATCTGCTTACTTCATATTTTTATACACAAATATTTTCTAAAAGGGTCATTTAAATATGTCATATTTTATATATATATATATATATTGTGTGTGTGTGTGTGTATTTGTTTGTACGTGTGTGATGAATATCCGATGGCAATGATAAATCTATAAGACAATTTAGATAACTTCTATTTTGACGTTTCTCGATAAAATCCTTCTGTCTTTTTTTTATGACGACTATTCATTGGCGAAACATGTCACAAAATATTTTTTTTATCTTTTTCTATATTTGTATGTGTGTATGACGGATAGTTTTCAAAATAAAGTTCTAATGAACATCCTCTCTTCCAAAAAAAAAAAAAATACAAATTTCAACAAGTTTGCCATATTCCGTCAGCATTTCTGTCATTCGCCATCATTTTTCTTTGATTAAATTAAAAAAGGTTTTTCATATTCACATTGGTGTTTCAACAATATGAATGAATTCAGGCACATTGTTCAGAACAGTTCTGGTTTTGACACTTTTCAAAAAACTCTCACTGTGTTCCTGCACATAATTCATTGCTTTTCTCACATGGTGATTTTTCGATGACTGAAGATTATCAAGGGCCCGATAAAAAAGAGGTCCTCCAGTAATAGGCAGTTCAAACATTGTGTTTCCTTCGCTTGATACATTGCAGCCGATAATTGTATTCTCAGTGCCGACTTGAAGTAATTCAAGAGCACCATTCGGAACAGGGTAACCATTTTGAGTTTCGGACAAAATCCGAACATAAATTGGCAAGTCTTCTTCAGCAATCAGTTGGCGGATTTTAGCTGCTCTAGGATAAGTGGACCCTCGACATTGGCGTTGTCTTGCAGCTTTTTTAAGCTGAGTGGCGAAAAAGCGTCCGGCAGTTTCTGTTGGAATTAGGACATTCTTACCGTCATCCATCTTGCATTCGAGACAACGCATCATTTTCGATTCGGTTTGGCTGTTTTTCACAAAGGTTACCATATCTTCGATAATTCCAATAACCTACAAAAAAAAAAAATGAAAAAGAAAAAGTGGAAGTGAAAATAATCCAAGTATGGATGAAATATGTTCATATATATACCCTGAAGATCCGTTTAGGTGAAACCTAGGTAGATTTGCCTGGCTCCTTAGGATTATCTTAGTATATATATATATATATATATATATATATAACTCGGACATAACTGCCATGTATACAAAAAATATAATAGACTACATAAAAAAGTTGAGACTGAAACATTATACCAAAATATAATTAAACTCCAGGAACAAAAGCTAATTACCGCAGAACCAGTAATCCATGATCTACTTAAAGCAGAATCTATAAAAACAGACATGTTAAAAAGGAAAATTCATCTAAACTCCTAAATAAATCACTAAAAATTGCTGCAAAAGAATTATGCAACCACCCAGAAATAGTAATTAAAAAAGCTGATAAAGCAAACGTCTTTATTGTTTTAAACAAGTCTGACTCCAACTCAAAAATTAAACAGTTACTTGATGATCACACCAAATTTAGAAAACTTACTAATAATTTTACTACTCAGCCAAAAGAGAAAATGAATAAAATAATCACAGCAAACAATGCAGAACAAGACAATCTAAAATTTAGCAAAATAATCGGAGACTATAAACCAGGATACATTTATGGTTCTATCAAAATGCACAAACCTAACTTTCCACTCCACCCTACTATATCCCAAATTCACACTCCTATCTACCAACTAACTAAAATACTTAACCAATTAATTACACCATACATACCTAACAAATATAGCATTAAATCAACCCTTGAACTTATACAAATATTAAAATCTGAAAAACCTAATAATGAAACCATAGCATTACTTGACGTTGAAAATCTGTTCACTAAGGTTCCGGTTAGAGAAATCATTGACATTATTATTAAATATAGATATAATAATTCATCTCTATCCCCATTAAAAATTAAACTTAAATTATTAAGAAAATTACTTTTAACTTGTACCACTAAAGTCTCATTTTATGATCACAGAAATAACGTGTATGTGCAATGTTATGGCGTTTCGATGGGTTCAGTTTTGAATCCAACCTTCAGTCACTTCTACATGGCTAACCTAGAAAATAATATATTTAGTACCACCAAGAAATCCTCCATTAACCTAAGATATGTAGATGATATACTTATTTTAGTTAAAACATAAAAGAAATAATAATTGAACTAAAAAAAATCTTTCAAAATAACTCCGTCCTCAAGTTCACATACGAACTAACATAAGATAGCAAAATCCTTTCCTTGACATTTTAATTGACACAAATAACAACACATTTACTTCATATATAAAAACAATCAGCAAAAACTCTTGCACTCTCGACTATAAGAGTCAATGTCCAGATTACTACAAAATAGCACTTATACAGAATTTAATTAATCGAGCACAAATTAATTCCTCCAGAAAAAAAGAATATAGTACTTCCCCAAAGGACAGTAAATATATCAAACTACTATATTATAACCAGATGCACACTAACTACAAACAGGATGAAAAAAAATCATAAAGAATCTCATTCATAGTAACATATCTTCTATAGATTCTAATAAAAAATAAAATTAATCATATATTATAAAAAATACAATACAACCAATTTAATTATTCGCAATAACTCCTCCCCTCAGACTGATGTATTACATAAAACCAACATGTTGGATATACAACAAATACACTAACAAGAAGGCTTACAGTACACATGTTTAACCATTCGTCCATTGTGAGACATCAACAACAACATTCACAATATAAAAAATTACTAATCGACAACACAACTACCCTGCATCACGAGAATAACAAATTCAGATTACAGATACTAGAAGCAATTTCTGTTAAAAAAAAATAAAGCTGGCACTGAACAGAATCAACTATGAATACTGCAGTAATGTTCTGAAATGCCTGTAAAATTTTTTTCATGCTTTAATGCGCGTATGAACATGACATTATAACAAGAAAAAATTCCATAATGGATAATTTTTTCACGTTCTAATGAACACTCAGCACATTGTCAACCGTTTTGCATTTAAAGGCATAATGGAAAAATTACGGTAATGGATAACAACGCATAACATTGTATACAATACTTGTACTAATGAACAACATATAGTTTTGTGCTACTTACACCCCTGAAGATGATCATGGAAGAAAATCGAAAGTACTTGGGAAATGAAAATAAAAGAAATTTAAACAGCTATAGCACATTTCTCTCATCCTTTAACATCAATACACGAAGGTTATTTGTGGGTATGAACGGATTTTGTTAAAAATTAGTAGACATAATGTCTATAATTTATTCAATCAGACATGCCTAAAAGAGAATTTTCTGTCTAAATACACATATATATATGTGTGTGTGTGCGTGTGTGTGTGTGTATAATTTATAAAAATAAAATGAAAAATTTAAAATAATATATATATATATATATATATATATATATATATATATATAAGCGACAGTCTATTCGATCTCAACAACACATAGGATGACGATGTGATACTACTACGAAAAAATCTTAGAGGCATTACCATTAATTATTAATAGATCGAGAAAATAATTAGAAAATTTTTTTAAAGAGCATGACTGAGTGCAGAGTAACTAAGGCAAAAGTATCCAACTGTCCAGATGTGACCTTGAATTTGAATAGCGGCAAATCATGTATAAAAGAACGAAGCAGCTTGAAATACATAAATAGTAGATACCACCAAAATGGATGTGTTTTTTTTGTTTGTTTTTTTGTTCGGAAATGAAAACAAAAAATCGCTACACCCTGTTTTAAAATATTTCATTTAATAAATTTCAGGGAACTATCCGGTTCAAAAGTAATTTTCACTATTTAATGAATTAATTAATGAATGAGGTGTATAGTGAATACGTTATTTTATTGAATGAAAATAAGTTATTTTATTAGAAAACTTTGTGAAAAAAATGTTTTGGGGAGTCTGTTTTTCGATATTTGGGGAGTCTGTTTTTCGATATTTGGGGAGTCTGTTTTTCGATATTTGGGGAGTCTGTTTTTCGATATTTGGGGAGTCTGTTTTTCGATATTTCGTGCGTATTATTTAATTTCGAGGGCGTTCGTGAAATCTTTTTACAGTTATCTAAAGAAAAGCACTGACGGTATTATTTCAGTAAATAAGTGTGAGCATACGAAAATTAATTCAAAATTTTCTGGCAGTTGGTGCTTAAATAATTTAATAAAAGACGTCATTTTCTTTCAGATTGGACAGAAAAAAATGAACACTTAATATTTACTCTTGAAAAGATTATGTGTCATCTTTCAGTGTGATTTTGAAACTCATCTCGTTGCTGTTCGTAAGACATATTTGAAGGACCGAAAATGTCAAGTTTAATGCCATTTTTGAGTGTGAAACGTTTTTTTCGAAGGATTTTTTTCTATTATAGCAATCATTAGATTATTTTTGTAAGGATGTTCATAAAGCAAATAATTCTGAATTTGGTGACTTTTCCCTATCCGAAGAATGATACAGATAATTTAATGACTCTTAAATTTAGAAGAATAAAAAACACATTAGGTGCAAATAAAAAAAGCAATGTATTAAACTGAAAAATATCATTTAACTAAAAATGGATTACTTCTAATGTAGTATAAAAAATAAAATTATTCATTCTACTAAGTTTCATAAAATCGTATGGAATAAAAATTATATTCCTAAAATATTGGTTATATAAGGTTAAAGAATTTATTTTCAACCATAAATACCAGTTTCTTGATTATTGTACTGCTGGTGTTCCGTATTCCCTTTAAAAATATTTCGCGCGCATTTTAAGAGAGGGATTGAAAGAGAATTGTATAGTTGCTGACCTCTGCCCTCACCGGCAACCATGCGTAAATAAATGTAATTTTTATTAAACAAAAATAAGCATTACGTTTAAAAAATCCAGTTAATCCAAATTTTTACTAAGAGACTTCAAAACACATCACTAGGACAAGTATTAGATGACTTAAATGTTCCTTATAACAAATATAAATATTAAGCACTTACAAAAAGCAATTTCTAAAAATTTCATACAATTAAATAACTAGGGAGAAATAGATGTAAAAAGAAACATTTCAAAAATAATTTTATTCATTTGTGAATAAATCTTGAAAAATTAATTAATATTCGCCAATTATCTGATTTTTGCAAAAATGTTTTTTAACTCCAAAAAAGATGCTCAAATTTCCCGTCGAAATTTTTGGTCCTAAATTATCGCCAGAAAAAACAAAATTTTTAACCAAAATTTTAAAGGTTCTCATAAGGATTAAAAAATAATTTTTACATAAAAAATCCTTTTGTATTTCTTCTTAATAATAGCACGGATTTTGACGATAAACCTCGTTTTATTTAAGTTTGAGACATTTTTTTATCACGGTATGCTAATTTTTTTAGCGAATCTTTGTAGGTACATAAATAAATTTCTCTTAAACGGTCAATGCTTAATTCGTGATATTATTTATAGAACTAGTGACAACCTATTTAAATAATATTTTGAGTCGACAAAATCAGAATGGAAACAAAGATTCTACAAACATAAGCTGAGCCTGAATAACAAAAAATATTGAAACAACACAGGTCTCTTAAAATATTACTGGCAGAAAGAAAAGAAAGTAAAGGAGTCCACTCGTGAATGTGGTGGTGAGAACTAAATCATATAACGGTAAGGGAGGAAGATGTAATGTTTACTTTTTGAAAAAAAAAAGAACTTACGATATTATAAAATATAATTAGACAAAATTTATTGAATAAAAGAAATGAATTAGATATATAGACAATGAGACATATATGTCGAAATTAACAACCTGATTTGTAGGTCCGTGAACCCCGAGTTAAAAATCTTTCCCTCAAAGCAGTCTATGGACCTCATTCACTAGGAATCGTCCACCGCGTTCCCAGTACTCTACACCTCTCCCTCAACACATCATGGCCCTATTGTGTTGTTAAATTTGAGACGTCTGGTTTAGAGGTCATATAAATTAAGTATGGCGTAATAATCTCTATGTTTTTATATTATTTACATTGTTCGGACTGTTGATATCATCTTTATTGCCATATTCAAGACATTGTTCTAGTTCCAATCTACCCCTGTATACGAAATAAAGGGTTGAGCTCGAAATTCCAAACACCTGAAGAAAGCCTGAGTGCACAACAGCCGAAACGTCGTGAATAGAGCAATAAATAATTACAATACCTCACCTCAGGAATATTGACAGAAATCTCTATTTTTCAACTAATATACCAGTATCACTAAATTAAAAATCCTTATTGGATGAACCTGAATATTTTAAGCAATAAGTTCATCGCTCTTATTGCATAAATAAAAAGTTTTACAATATTTATTGAGTATCTTTTAAGAAAATAATTGAAGCAATTATTTGGGGAAGATTTTAATAAACTTGAATTCCTCGATCCCAAATATTTTCTTTAAAATTCTCAATTAAACCCAAATGATTTCTATGAAAATTATCTAAGTACCATTGATCCCGGATTAAACAATTCCTAAATTTGATGGCAATAAGTTATGAAAAAGTTTCTGTAACAAACAGAGAAAAAGTGTTAAGAATTACTTTTCTTAGTTAGTGAATAAAATAACTCTAAAAGAATAATTTGGCAGATATTTTAATAAGGCTCCCTTTATGATTAATTTATGATCTACCATACTTGTAAAAGATACCGTATGATTCTAATCGCTACAGAGTAACATAAAAAAAATACATTTATCTAATGAAATGAGATCATGAGATCTAATGACATATTAGTATGTGTGTGTGTATGTGTGTGTGTGTGTATGTGTGTGCGCATGCATTTGTTTATGCAATTATAAAGATATATGATGCGTAGCCCAGTAGGCAAACATTAGAGATGACGCAGCACTGTAATAGCTAAATCAGAATTATTTAACGTCATAAAGTTGAGTCATTGGAAATATGATCGCCATCTGCTTTGTTTTTCAGCAAACTCTCGCTGTGACAAGACAGAAATTATTTTTTAATTTTCGATTCAGAAAAGAGTTTTCCACGAAAAATGAATTTGAAAAATTTCTTTGATAATATTTTGAGGAAATTTTTCTTATGAGAAAAAGATATTTTCAGATTTCCTTTTATATTTTAGAAGAAAACAATGAAAGCGAACGAAAGAACAAAACGTACAAAAGAATGACTAGAGAACATTTGAAAGTCTAAAAATATATAAAATGATATGGAAAAAGGAATTTAAGATTAAACAAAAATCTTTCATATATTGACTTCAGTTCAGCGATATAAACAAAGTAAAATGTTTGACACTTTGAATTTGCTGTGCGAAAATTCATTTCTCTTTGTGTACAGTAATTTCTTTTTTTTTAAATTACCAAACATTTCTGACCAAAAAATGTATTACCAATTAAAAGTAATTAATTTATTGATATATATATATATACCTTATTAGTATTGTAAATTTCCCAAAACGTTTACGATATTTCTGTTATCGTAATGTCGTTGAAGTTGAGCATCTTTATTTATGAAATGTATGATAAATTATTTTTTAGTTAAGTAGGAAATTTGTGAGACAAAGTCAGAGGTATATGGCGCCTGTAGCATATGCTATGAATGGTTCTAAATTATAAAATACACTTGCCTATCAAATCAAATTGTTTAATAGCACTAGGGATTGAGCTTATAAAACAAGTAAATATTTAACATCTATTATCATAATAAACAAACCTAGAAGTATAACGAGATATTCGAGAAGATCTAACGGACTCGATATAATGTTACCTGATATGATAGAATAATTAAAAATGCAGTTCGTCCAAAATATATGATCATTGCCAGATCGTAAGATGCCGATTTCATAAGAAATAAGGACGGTATTTGAAACCTGAAAATGTTGAGCACGTAGCATTTGCTACTTTTGCTACTAAATTAAGTCAGTACGAGTCAAAGCAGAAAACAAATTCGCTGGCTATTTATTTCCAATGCTCCATTATGTCTGTTAATATTCAATACTTACCTGAAATTCGGAGAAGGCAGGAAGGCATTGCTTGTTGTAACAAGGCAAGTCGGGATCGTCTGATATCAAAACATATGCCTTCAAATCTTGTACAGTTATGAATCGTGCGGGCATCGCAGCAATTACTTTGGCCAGGGTATCCCATAATTCAATGTCTTGAAAAATATTGCCTGTGTCACTGCATTTGCTGTATCCGTAACCATCATCTAGTCTCCTTCCGAGAATCTCAAGCCAACCTGAAATGACATCTCAAAATATTACATATAGCCCCTTATTTGTTTGTGTGATCATGTACATTTATTCAACTAGAAATTCCAAAACTAGATGGTCGTTTATTGAACCTAGTGTAGAAAGAAATATTAGCAGAATGGGAGAACGATAACTCCATTTTGAAATAATACAAAAAACAAATGTTACATGCTTGAAATCCTTTATGGATTGTACAAAAATGTGAAATAAACCTTGCTTATCTAATATTTTTTGTATTCAATTCACTTGAAGGCGAAAAAGTTAATACATTATTTGAATCTGAAAGAGTAAATAAATTGAAACTTTTAGATTAGCTGACACTTCTTATTAGATTAAGTGCCAACAAGTTACTACCACCAGCTTTTACTGTGGACCCAATTTTATTTGACATTGAAGATTATTTGGACAGAATACTTTCCTTATGATACAGGTATGAAAATCGTAGTCAAAGAATTAGGCAAATATGAGAGAAAGATACCAAGAATTTATTTCATTGCTTATGAATCAACGGAAACAAAGATAACAAGATAATTTAGAAATGCTGAAAAATATTGCATTTATATAAGAGTTACATCCAATTAAAGAGTTCATTTTAAGTTGAAGCATAGGAACATCCGAGAAAGGTATAATTGTTGGTAAAATTCAGTGTTCAAAACTGCACTTAATAAACTGGAACCTCGAAATTGACACTGATATTTTAGGGTGAGATATTTCAATATAAAAATGCTTTTGGAAGTAATCCTTTCAAGGAACTTGCAGGAACTTCAATGTTAGTGCTGGCCCAAGGATATGTTGAAGTTGAAAGAATTTACAGTTCTATAAACATTGTAGAAACAAAGTGGAACTGAAAATGCTAAAATCACGATTACAAATTCAATTTAGACTTAGAAAATACAATAGATGCCTCAGTACATATCAACTGCCAGAAAAAAATGATTAAATATTACAGATACAAGAGCTCCATAATACGAGCTCAAATGACTCCTGTCTTCATACCTTAACATTTGTAAAGCAGATTCAATTTCCACATTATTAAATCTGTTGGGAAATGGCAATATCCATAGCTGTATGAACATTTTCTGACATTTTATAACACTTTAAATATTTGTAGTATAATTATTTAAACTTTGAATTCTGTACACAATAATTTGTGTTTATTTAATAAATTTGTTGAATTTTTTTACAACAGATTTAAAATTTTCTTTTGAGCTGTAAGTCTAATTAATTTTCAATGGATTAATTTTAGGGACTTTTTACACTTTTAAATCCATAAGATCTTTGTTTCTGACAGTTTTTGAAATGTCATGCCAGAACTTCCTCTTCAAAATAACTTAAATATGGTAACACTAAAAGCTGTGTGGACTGGTTTTGCTCAAATATTCAGCCATATTAGCGTATGTGGACACAAAGGGTCACGTTTTAAAAATATTACACTGTAGATTTTACTAATATCGATAAAAACATTAGGGTTCATTTTTATGTCTGCAAACTTTGTAAATCAGTCACCAAATTTAGAGTCAGTTCAATCACATTACTTTTTCTTGAACAACATTTCATGGAAGACATATTGATCAGAATCTGTGAAAGCAAATTAAATTGGAAGTTTTTTGCTAATTTTTTTTTATATAAGATTAACAAAATTTTAACGGAAACGTTTGGTTTATATATGTTAGTCTGACACTAACTTTTTAGTAAAGTTACTAATCTGGAAAGTAAATGTATAATACAATTTATATAAATAATTTGTTCTAGAGTCATAACTTATAGTTATCTTATTTTATAATTGGGCTTTAAGTAAGTATAAATTCTATAAGTTTAGCCGAAAGTGGAAAATTTGACCGATTTTAAGCTTTTTTGAGACAAGATTTAGTCCAAAATCTTGAGTTTGTAACAATAGTCAGATGGTGAGCCATACATTCTAATGTTCTATCACAGGACTATAGACTTAAGGTATAAATTATGATTTTTTCAAGGTAGGTGAATGCAGGAAAATTACCTGAATTAAGAAGCAGGATGTAGTTAAGGTTGTGATTACAACGAACTTAACGTTGTGCATTGCATAATCATCCTTGCTTGTAGGAATAAGATTGAAATATTTGTAATGACATTTAAATAGTAGAGATTAAATATCAGAGTTCAGGCCTTTATTTGTGGATGATGGAAACGAAATATATTTAATGAAATCTCATATTTGAGTGGGACTTGCAGGAAGTGAAACGTTTCAACTATTCATCTTATGAATCGAAAAGACTTTGGTATTTATGAAATTTGTTTTTATTCTTTATACTATTGCTAGAAATCGAATAAAAATGTTATTAAAACTAAAAAAAAAAGTTTGTTTTGGTATATGACATAAATTTAATTATAAGTCATTCAACTTTTGATCATCATCATCAGCAGCAGTAGCAATTATTGTGAATCCAGAGCCTAGATTGAATTCGCTGTTTTCTCTCTCTCTCGGCACATTACCACCATATTTTTCTTTTCTTTTTTTTCTTCTTCCTCCTTTTACTTTTTAAAGGATCATTATGTTCTCTTGATTTTAAAGTCAAATTCGATTACACATAGAAACAAATAAAATAAATATTGGTAAACGAGGGAGACAAGTAGTTAAGATTTTGTTTAAATTATTTACAGCATGCCTTTAATGTATTTTCTGGAAACTGAATTGGGAAGAAATATGAATAAATATAAAAGAGAATATTTGTAACATCTACGATTTTTTTCTAATTTGGTATTGGTGAGTAGACATTGTCAAACACAGACTTTACTCATAGCATTATGGGTAAATAGAAGAAATATTTGGCAGTATAGCAAATAGAGTAGGATGGTAATTAGATTATAAAGACACACCCTAAAATGACCCCATGAAAAATCTCGGAAACTGAAGTGTTTTAGCATCACATCAGTAAGGTTTACGGTAAGAAGGAAACTAGCTATAATATTTTGATGGGCGACTTTACTGCAAAATTAGAAAATGGAAAAATGGAGAATAGAGTACGAAAATATAGAATGGGGAACAGGGTGAAAAGAGTGAAATAGTGAAATTCTTAGAGCGATTCAAAATGACACTGCAAAAGAGAAGTGGAAATGCGATTGGAAAAAAACAAAAAAAAAAAAAATAAATCGTGATACAAAACTTCATAAGTAGTGACAAGTTTATTACCTACTCTTCATGATGCAACCATCATAAATAAAGTTAATAAAGTGATCATAGAATGTCAGTGTCTATTAATGTTTTCATTATATACGTTATAAAAGTGTTAACACAATAACAACATGATAAAACTTGAATTATTTTATAAAATATAAAAAATGATTCAATAGATTTCAGATATCTTCTCTCTATTAAGATTGTTCCTTGTACAAATTTAAAATCCAGGATCACTAGATCCTTTTATTATCTGCTTTGTTATATAAATGTAAACATTTTTTTTTTATGAGAGTATTCAATGATCAGGCATTTTATAGAATTTCTGTGAAAGATATGTTCTTAGTGTTTCGCTCAGGGCCTAGTACAAATAAACACTGGCTAACTTTTTATTTTATATCATACAATAATAATTATGCATGTGCATTGATAAATTCTATTCGATTTCTGTTGCATTACAGAATTATTATGATTCTACTTCTAACAAAGAATTTTTAATATTTTTCTGATTTTCCTTTTCTCAAAACTTAAATCACGTATAATAGATATGCTCGTTCATTGGGATCAACCACCTAAAAACTTATAAAATATGAAGTCGGATCACTAAACGATTAGTTTCATCTCCTTGCCGAATTAGCAAAGATTACTTAAAGAAAGAAATTCGAAAACAAATGACAACCATACATGAAAGCAATAAAATTATTACCTCGTTTTTGCTAACCTTATATTCGTATTAATGAAGAATAATGACATGATTGTTAGATAAAATATTCGTTTAACCGGTTATAGGTTTCGGTGGTTTACGAATTAAACCAGATTCACAGTAAAATTGAAAGAAATAAAAGATAAAAGTACAATGAAGTAAAGAATAATATACAATAGAACGCTCTTTACAATAATTAGAAAAATACAAAAAAATATGTTTTATTTTATACTCTTTTGTTTGGGCATTCATAAAATATACACTTATCCACTTTTAGATTTAAAATAATTTTACAAATAATCCGAAATTATACAAAAAATCAAATTTAGACTGAAATACTATCGAACACTATGGTATCAGAAACAAAAGGAACATATTGAATTTTAATTTAAAAAAATTCTTTTGGCATATTATGTTAATAATTTGACGAATGAAAACTAAAAATAGGATTTAGCGATTCTATCTTTGCATTTGGTCCGATACAAACCGTTTCCATTTTGATTTTCTCCAGAATATTAATGATATAACATTCTGCATGATTAACAAGGTGGAGGCTCGTAACCTGCTCAGCTTACTTTGATATTAAATACAGCAAGTTTAGTTTCATGTCGAAATACAAAATAATAATAATAATAATAATTGCTAATCTGACTTGTATGAACGTCTTCTGCAGGGGATTGTTTAACAAATTTGTTTGGCGAGCCAATTTGCTTTTGTAATAAGTTCAGTTCTCAATGGTTATTCTATTCCTGCGACTGCAGTGTTACCTGGTGAGGGTTGAGAAGGTAAACTGAGAATAGGAGGCTGTATAGTGTAGTCAGAAAACTAAATCTTCTTGTATCAAATCTTAGCAAAAGATCTTTTCTTTCGAAAGGCCAGTGTAATTTTTGATATTGATAGAATATTGCATTAAATACTCATTTGCTCTCTCGGGAAAAGTTCATTTACTTTTTATTCATGATCTGGTGACTGTATTTCTGCTTTGCTTATAAATCATTTGCTGGACTGTAAATAGAAATAAAAATTTAACACAGGCGATAGTTTAGAATCTTATATCTTGAATTTTATGACATTTGAGGTGGAGCAACTACATTGAATCAATAGCTGCCTCTACCACAAGAAAAAAACGATTC